CTGGCATCGAGGTTGTGACAGTCCACTGCTTAAGTACTCCTCCAGATAATGATCCAAAGAGCCGCAGGTGTGCAGGGAGGGCAAACAATGGCAGGGCGCCACCTGGTGGTGGAGGGAGAGACAGACACAAAACAGACCACACAAACTGGATTCCTGACATTCAGGAGTTCAAGACTTGACGCAATCTGCCCGGTTTCTTGCCGGATTTTTTTTTTTTGCCACTCTTATTATGATCAAAGGCAACAGACCCTGTATATTTGCACCACTGGAGCAGGGGCAGAACTATGTAGGGGGCCAGGGGAGACCATGGCCACCATTAGCCAATCATTGGCCATCCTTACTAGATGATCCCATGTGGACATAATTCACATGCATTTTCCCTTTAAAACAATTGTGGTAGCGGTAATACCCTTAAGTGTAATACTCTTACTAATTTAAAATTTTAACATTTAATGTATTAACGTTAAACTGAAAAAGCTCACATCAATATACTGACATTAAGATGGTAAATACAGAATTCATGTGCCTCTGCTAGGCAGTCTTGAGTGTAATCACAAATAAATAATGGTAGGTACAAAATTACACTGGATAAGGTGTCCCAGAGAGGTCAAAGCTAAAAGATTCTCCACTATACATTTAATTTAGACTTTAATTTAGGACATGTAAATATATTTTGCTATTTCTTAGCAAGGTCTTTAGGAAAATATAGTTTGTCTTTATTTAGGAATTTGTGCTTGTTGATTTCTCGTTTGAAGAGTGTTAAATGCATCTGAGGTTCTGGCTACTATCCGTTTCTGGTCACTTCTCAGTGCACATTGGTTCCTAGCTGGCTACCCATATAAATATTTTTTGTTACGCCTCTGCAGTGAAGTAGCCTGCCTTGAAATATTTTTTCCATAGAAGTACTTTATAATGTACTTTACTCAATTATGTAAGATATCTTAACATAGACATTTAAAAGCCATATATATCCAAGGTAGTCGTTTCTCTAAAATCTCTTAGAAGCAGATAGAATTGAGTGGCAGGTATTTCTTACTAAGCTTTTAGCCCTATCAGTCCTATTTTTCAAATCTGCTGGTGGAATGATTAACAAATAGTTACAAATTCATAAAAAATTTTATTTCTCTTCAGACAGCTAATCTTTCATGTGGGCATATTTAAAAGAAAACCTTTACTTGTATACAACACTGTCTTGGGGATGCCTCATCTAATTGTGCACATTCATTAATCAATCTAGTCAACTAGATATCCTGATGTTTTCCTTATTTTTACCACTCTGCTTACTGACAAATGATTAAAATAAAATTTTCTTGTCTCTAAGCCTGAAGCCTGGTTACATAATCAATGAATTCTGAAATGAGTCAGAAATGTTGTTTATCATTAAAACAATGAGATGGGAATAACTCTGTTCTTTGGTAACACGCAGCTGATGTGAGCTTTTTTTCTGAACTCTTTGGTAAGCCTCTTCTCAAACATCTGTGTTCCTCTGGCAGTTCTGTCTTCCCTTCATTTGCAGCTGCTGGTGTTGCAGACCGCCCCGGCTCTCCTGTGGTGAACTGCCAGTGAAAGGCTATATCAGACATGACTGATAAAAAACTCTCTGGCTCAGTGTGGGGATATAGAACTGTGAGGAAATTGATTAAATGGTCAAGTAAAGGCAAGATTGTTGTTTTAATTTGGACATCTTCACATGAAGTTCAGTGGAAATCAACCATTAGGAGATTTTTTTTTTTTCCTGCCGCTGGTTATCACTGCTGTGACTCAACATGAGCCTGTATTTAGCTGCTCCTTTCCTGACTTTAGATCTGTACAGATCCTGGATGGAGGGAAGTTGGCAAGTACAGTCTCTGCTGAGCCTTTGTCTGAACAAAAGCTCCATTTACACTACCCTTTTGAAACCTCGGCGAGAACGGTCCCAGCAAACGGAACGCAACTTAATTGGACAGTGCCAGACACAACTGAACTGCGCTAAATCTAGTACTAGTTCAACAGTAGGAATCTGTTCAGTTGTGGCTCGGTTCTCTGATAACAAAGAGGGCATGAGCAGACCACCTTATCTTCTATTCACAGTCAACGACTCATTTTGCAGGTTTTACGGTGTGGACGGCTTTAATATGAAGAGATCTCTTCACCTGTTTACAACACGAACTTCTTCTCAGCTTATAACATTCAGTCATCAAAAGAGCGAGGTGCGACCTGTGATGATGCCAAGACTGAGGCTCTCATTGAAATTTGTGTGGAAGTGCTATCCAGGCACATAATTTTGTAAATGTTATGGCTGCAAACATTTTTGTTTCCATAATTCCTGTCTTGAGAGCTGTATGCTGGTGAAGATTCTCAGCCATCCAGGTCATAGTCATTCCAAAATTGTTAAAAAACAATACACTCGACTTTGTTTTCCCAGTTTGAAGAAGTTTTGCTTTCCATCCAGGATGCTTTTTTTTAATTCAAATTGTCAGAATTAGAGTTGAGTTCCAAGCTTTACAGGGTGGCACAAACAAAGCCTTGTTTTGGCTTAGACATGCAAATTGAAGCGGAAGAACAGATCTGCCCCTTAGGAGTGGGGAGTTGTGAAGTCCTTGTTAGCCTGTAACCCCTTGCTCACACTGGCTCCGGTGCGGTTACCGAGCTCTGCGGCTCCGGCAACAGGTCCGGAGATTTAACTCGCAAGAACAGAAGTTCACTTGAGTTTACGTAACTTCACGTGATAACACGGCCCAAATGAGGATATTTGCGAGAGCTTGTTGCGGAGGGCTCCGGCACGCCGCAAGGATAGCTTTCTTGCTGAATTTTATGCAGCGCCGGAGTGTCTCGGTAACCGCAGCCGGACAGCTCAGCAGCCGGTGAGAGAGGTTTACGTCTTTTTAATAACTTGGAATCACTGCGGCGCCGCACCCACCGCAACGGTAAGACCGGAGTCGGTGTGAGCCGGGGGTAATACCCGGTACTGGTCTATGCCTCTGAGTGGGGGAGTCGTTAGAGGCATTGCTGGATGGGCTGAGCGGGTGAGTAGTCTTGGTCCCCTGCATGGCCATGAGGATTATGATAGTGGGAAGGGATCAACTCTATTGCTGCGTTGTAGGTTTTTGAGAGCTGAAACCTGAGTCCGCCCCCTCTGTTAAAGGTTGGCTTTTTTCTCTTAACATAAATGTCTTCCTTCACACCCCTTTCAAACCATCTGTCTTTTTTGTCCAAAATGTGAACATTCTGGTCCTCAAAAAAGTGTCGTTTGTCCATAAGGTGTAGATATACAGCTGAGTCAAGTGAAGAGGAGGTAGCTCTCCTGTGTTGAGCCATGCATCTGTGGAGAGGTTGTTTGGTTTCTCCAATATAAAGATCAGAGCATTCCTCACTGCATTGAACTGCATATACCACTGCTGGCTGCTACTGGGCAGCGCCTGGGGATCAGTCTGGGGTTAAGTGTATTGCTCAGGGACCCAGAGTGGCAGTCAGAACCCCCGGGCCCCAAGTGTAATGCTCCAACCACTAGGCCACCACTCCAAACTTCAGGAGTTTTATAGACATGTTCCATGAGGTTTAGTCATGTGTGTAAAAGGAAATTTTAGCAGGTAGAGAAAACAGCCCTGAGGGCCACCAATGCTAACAGTTCTTGTGTGGTATAGTATAAGTTCCTCAGCTTTGCCAGATGATCACATGGAGATTGGCGTTGGGAGCCTGATGGAAACTTACTGTGAAACTGGATTAAAAAGACTTGACCTACTATAGGGAGGATATTATATAAAGATGTTTGGGTCATGAAGCTGAAGTGCTTTATAAACCTTAGCATACACATTAATATATGTGATTCTCCCACATCTAATTCTTGAAGAGTTTAAATGTGCAATTTTTGACCTTGGTATAAAGGAGTACAATCTCTTCTGGGTTTTTTTTTTCTCTCCATTAAATTCATTTTACACTTAATCATCATCATTTCTGAGGTTAATAATAATAATTTACTTTTGCTTGTTTCTCCATTGCCATAGTTTAAAACAGAAACAACTGCTTCTATAATATTACTCCCACTTGTTTTTTCATAATACATCCAGTTAAAGGTTTCATATGACCTTTAGATAAAAGATTTTATTTATGAGAGTAATGATCTGCTGTATTGGATTTCTGTATGACTTATAAAGGTTGTGACCAGGAGAACTGTACTCCCTCAGTAAAACTGTGCTGCTTTGCTTTCTCTTGAAATAATAATGACTTGCAGGTACAGCTGTATGTTATATATATAACCTGTTTCACGTTTGATTGATTGTAATAGTTTAAGGCTCAGTTTATTAATCGATTCAGAGCAATCCCAGGTTCCTGCTGTGGATGATTTAAAGCACAAGACTCTCTGTTCTGCTCTCTGTCTGAAATGTAAGGGTTTTCATTGTAAAGCAGGTTTATAGACCGTAAGGAAGCTTTAAACTATAAAATGTTTCTCCTCTATCATGGTCAAAAAGTAATTTTTTAAAGCTTTTTTTTTTAGCAGTCAAATAGGACTGCAACATTTTGGAAAAACATGGAGTGAAGACATTACTGGTAAATACTGTGATGATATTTTATCGGTATTCTTCTTTTTAAATCATACGAAACTACTCAAAATGTCTGTTGTCTTGGTGATTGATATCAGCTTTAGACATCAGCATTAGAAACAGCAAAAACTAATCTTGATCATAAAATATAGATTGGAAGCAGTGTCTGTTAGAAACTCTGTGGCCTTTAAATATTACATAAAGCATTTCTTTGCAATATTGCAACGTTCCACAGACTGATTTTGTGGTGATGATTGGGATTCAATGTATTGTGCTGTCTAGTTCCAAATTATGAGTTTATTTCACACACTAATCCATTTTTAATTGTATTGCTACGCTTTACTAAGTTCATTTATGTACATTTTACAGCTTATTTATTTGTTTGCTGTTGCTCTTTCTCAAAAAAAAAAATAAAAATGAAAGCATCCCATAAAATCTTAGAATTTCCTCATTGTTTCTTTTTCCTCCCATCTCTCATAGCTGTCTGCTACCTCCACATCCAGAGCTGCCTTCTTGCAGTGCCTTCGCTGGGGAGTTTGGTGCCCCTTCCAGGACCTAGCTGACTGGAAAGGCAAAGAGGTGAAGCTTGTTCTGCAAGGAGGCGCACAGCCGAACCCCTTTGGAGTGATGGTCTACAGCACAGAGACATCTGTCCAAGCTTCTAGCCCAGCGGCAGTTTCTGCTCCAAGCACAGTTCAGGTAACACAAAAGCTGAGAAGTATTGTCTTGTTTGAGGAAAAAAAAACTGTATGCATGGGCAAGAAAGTAGAAAAAAATCTTAAGCCTTGAGGGTTTTAGGAGCAATTTCTGCCTTAAAGTTCCAATCTGATATAAAGCAAGAACAGCCCTAAAGTTATAAAGTGTGAAGGTAAAAGGTATAACTAAAATAATTTTTAACTGGAACCATGATTGTTAATTCAATTCAGTTCAGTTTATTTATATAGCGCCAATTTAAAACACATTTCATCTTAAGGCACTTTACAGTTCACAAAATCATACAGTCAAATTGATTCAACATTTTCTATCTAAGGAAAACCAGTTGATTGCATCGACTCATTGACTTGAAGGCAATCTGTCACACTAAGCATGCTTATAGTGACAGTGGTGAGGAAAAACTCCCTTTTAACAGGAAGAATCCTCCAATAGAACCAGGCTCAGTGTGAGCGGCCACCTGCTGAGGCCAAGACAGAAGCAGAGATACAAGAGGTAACTATAAAAGGCGGCCCCGTCCAGGAAACACACAGCCAGGCAGACGAGCTCAGAGCCAGCTCCCATGTCAGAGGATCAAGAGAGCACATCCAGCCAGTCATGGTCAGAGAAACAGGACTACACTGAAAAAAAGGCAGATCTCCACCAGGCAGAATTTGTATCTGTAAAAAAACAAAGCAAACATCAACATTTGTGTTCCTGGCTTCAATTATTTCCAAAATAAAACAGCATAATACCATGTAAACCCCTTTAAAACTTAGATAGATCATCTGAATTTCTAGATCCACTTCTTGACAATAAGTGAAACAAATCTGGACTGAATCGTTGGAAGACATTTGATCCATAAAGGTTTTAGTGGCAGTGCGCCAGTACCTATAATTTTCAGCTAAAAAAAAATCAAACAAACATTTGCAAAATGTTAAACACAAACTCTGATATCCATCATAGTGCCCCTTCTGCTGTTTTTGTAGATAAGAGTTACCCCCATTTTGTACCATTGGAAACAGCATAATATGAACAAAGGGAGGAGAAAATGAGCTGAAAGTTTTCCTTTTGTCTCAAACAGCAAAAAAAAAAAAATATATATATATATATTAAAAAAAAACATCTATAAATTAAAATCCTATGAGAAAATAATTCATAACCAATCAAGGATATGAAAAATACAAAATTACATCTTGTAGGCAAATATGCCGTTGCCAAATATCAATCTATCTATATAACACTCATGAAAACAAGTTCACAAAACCAAAACTTTAGAGAAGATTGAAAAAAAGAAATGAAAAAAAAAAGAAATGTAAATTATGTAAATACTCAATAAAATGCTTTTTAGATAATTCAACCTAGAGTAAAAGCAAATCTTTTACTCTAGGTTGAAACACCATCATTTATTACATACATTCTTAGGAAAATTGCAAAATACCATAAAATGACCATCATATTCTAACTGTAACTAACAGTAGTCAATATATAACTAAAGCTGCTGGAAATAAAAATTAACTTAATGATCTTCTTAAACCGGGTCCTGAATCAGCTACTGTTCTTTTTCAAAATCCGAGCAAGACTGAAGATATTTCTATCCCGGCATCTCTGTCCCCCTTTTCATTTGGTTAGTTTCTCCCCTTTGTGCCATTATGACAAACCAGAAAAAAACAAGCCGACTGCATCTGCTGCGTGTGTAAAGCAACCCATGTGCAAAGCAGATGTGGTCAGGTCTTTAAAATTCTCTAATACACAAGAAACTACATCAACAGAACACATTAAAAAAAGACATACTATACCTTGTTGGAAAGGCTGGGGCTCTAGTTTCCAACAATGCTAGCCATGTGGGGCTTAGGTGGAGAATGTCTCCGTAGTGAAGCATTTTTCAGAGAGTCAAACATTTCTGACAGACAGCTAAATGGCATCTCCTGTGTTTAGAGTGCTGTAAAACCAAACATTCCATTCACAGAAACAACTGGTGACACATTTTAGAAACTGTTTTTACAAGGTTTAGAAAGAAATTAAATATTCTATTGTTTTTGACTAACTTTAAAGCTGGACAAAACAGGACAAAGCCCTGCCCCTATTGTCCCATACACTATAGTTAATGTTCTTAGCATTCACACTGACGAGTAATTGGCTGCAAATTGTACCTTTTTAGACCTAGTGTCCAGAGAGGTGAGGGTGCTCCGATTCTTCACACCTTTGCTGTAAATTGTCTCACAGTTTTAGTCATTACTGTTTTCACCAGCACTTTTTGTTCTGTGTCATCCCCTCCTCTGGCTGCTGTTTCAATGATTATACTTCTGACCCTTCCCTCCAGAAGCCCAGTTGCTCCTTTTAACAGGGGTTAAAGGGTTCTTTTAATGTTTCTTTTTCAGGGCACTGACATGTCTTCTGCTTTCTCCCTCACAGGAGAAGGATCTGATGAGATTTTGGCTTCAGTCCAGTGTGGAAAAGAAGCCATCCAGCCCAAAGGCATCTCTAAAAACTAAGCAGGAGGATGTGACACGTGAGAGAGCTTCACCTATACAAAGTAAACATTACAGTTTATGTATTGATTTAGGCTGAGTCTGATGCTTCTGGTGATTGCACAGCTAGTGCTGGTTTAGATCAATATAAAGTTTAGTTAGTTAAACTTCTGATATTCAACAAATGCCTGGTTCATACTGCAAGATAATCATGCTGGTTTAGCCCTGATTATCTTGTTCCACTTATAAGTATGGCTCTAAAGATAATCTTATGGGGAATTCCTGTGTTAAGAGTTAACAGCTCAGATCGAATATCCTAGCATGTGTGGTGTTCCCTAGACAAAGAACCACTCTATTGAATGTGACATATTCTCAATCAGGAAGCTTTTCCAGAGGGGAAAAAGTGCAACAACTCACCAGTGAAGTGAAGTAGAGCCCCTGCCTCTGCTGTCTTCACTCCTTAACTAATCCCTTCACTTATTAAGATGTTTTTTTTCTGTCAATATCAGTCCATAAAGAATCTCCATTGCATTTCCTCGACGGTCAATTTTATTTACTCTGAACTTATGTTTCATCCCAAGAAGTTTCAAGAGATTTCCCATCTAACATCAGATTTTTTCCCCACTGAATGAAATCTGTGGTGTGGGACTAAACCCATTTTATCTGTGATTTTTTCCTGTGTTTAAAAAAAACCCCAACAATTTTAAAATATCACATTATATGAGCCTAGTGGCAATAACCACTTACTGCATAGTATCTCTTTCCCATTATTTGCATGTTAACGATAGTAAAACATAAGAAATCAGCTTATTTCTCTAAAAGAATTATAAGAACAGCATTTAGCATATTTCCCTATTGCCTTTATTCTGTCAGTGGTGATTAATTAGAGGTGACATCACACATTTCTTTTAAAACAGACAAAATTATTAGAGAGTTCCCATTTTAAACTGTCTCTATTATCTTTTTGTCACTGATTGGTGCATGCAGGTTTACTAACAGCAGTTTCTGCTTCTTCCCATGAGCGTGGAGATTCTGCTCTTCTTTCTTTTCTTGTTGCCACTTGAACAGCAAGCATGCCTCTCAATATCACAGAAAGCACTTTTTTAAAAAAAGATGTCATTAAACATATTACTGATAATGATAATAAAATATTTGGTATTTTCCCACATTTAAAACTGCCAAAGTAAAAAATGTGTTTGTTGATGCCGTTTTTAAGGCTTTGCTATGAAGCATTTGTTTGAATCATAATAAAAGGACTGTCCTAAAATGTGACCATACAACAAAAAGTAATTAAAACAGGGAGCTTTTAGTTTTCTTATATATTCCAAATCTACAAGAGAAAAACCAAGATTAGTTTATTTTTAAGGTGTTTTTGTCTGTTTCTTTTAGCCTTCTTAGAATGATTAGAAGATTCAAATACTCTTTATACACCTCATGTAAGGCATGAACTTAACCAAACAACGCTAAAAAAGTAAAAAGTGCTTGTTTCCTTTTTTAACAGTAAGAGCCCTTGACTATTTTCCAAAAATGAAGCCCCAAAAAGTCCATTAATAATGTCATTAAATGTTCAATAAAAATCAACTTCTTTACAGAAGCAATAACTTCTTAAACCCAACAGCCACCGACCATTGAACTAAAACCTCAGCAGACTTCAGGCAGTTTAAAATGTTCTTCTGGTTCACTGATCCAATTGATGCATCCTCAGCTTTCTGATGCCCGCTTCATCCGCAGATACAGTCAGAGCTTCGTACATACAGTAAGGAAAATTTGAACACCCTGCCATTTTGCAAGTTCTCCCACTTAGAAATCATGGAGGGGTCAGATATTGTCATCGTAGGTTCATGTCGACTGTGAGAGACATAATCTAGAAATCACAATGTAGGATTTTTTTTTAACTATTTGTAATATGCAGTTGCAAATAAGTATTAGAACACCTGAGAAAATCAATGTTATTATTTGGTACTGTAGCCTTTGTTTGCAATTATGGAGGTCATGGTTTCTTGTAGTTTTTCACCATATTTCTGCACACTGCAGGAGGGTTTTTGGCCCACTCCTCCACACAGATGTTCTCTAGATCAGTCACGTTTCTGGGCTGTTGCTAAGAAACATGGAGTTTGAGCTCCCTCCAAAGATTCTCTATTGGTGTTTAGGTCTGGAGACTAGCTAGCTCATGCCAGAACCTTGATATGCCTCTTACAGAGCCTCTCATTGGTTATCCTGACCGTGTGCTTTGGGTCATTGTCATGTTGGAAGACCCAGCCTCCACCCATCTTCAATGCACCTACAATGAAAATTTCAGTCACCTATGTCATTTCTTTAAGTTGGGAGAACTTGCAAAATAGCAGGGTGTTGAAATACTTTTCCTCACTGAACCCACATTCTTTGGGTTGCACAGGCGATCGGCAAAATTTACACATGAAGCCGATTTTATCCACTGATCCTCAATACTTCTAAAAAACATCCTCTTTCAATGCTCTAAACTTTTCATTTATACACAAGAACAGTTAAAACAAGTATGTATTGTTTTATTATGGCTAAATGTTTTTTTTTTAAGCAATGTCGGTTATAAGAAAAACTATAATGTCCAGATCATTTATCTGCCTGAAACTGCAATCAGTGCACTTTTATATGTGTATGGATTTTATCATGCTAGATCAGAGAACATCCTGGGTTGATGTTAAAAATGGGCTAAAACAATGATGTCTAACTGTAAACTGAAGTTGGTCAGGTGTGTCCTTTCAGTAAATTGCCAAAAAGAAAAGAAAACTATGACAGGCGACCTATAGAGGGCCAATTCAATAAATCAATGAATACATTAATAAATAAATGTGACTATAGATAAATTACTGATAAATATTTTATGAAATAAATAAATGTAAACATGCATTTAAACTCAATAAATATTTCAAACAACATTTTTATCTTTATTTTTATTCATATCAAGATATATTTATTTGTAAAGCTACCTCCCAGAATTCTGTGACTTTTTTTTACCCAGTTTTCATTTTCATCTCTTACCATTTCATTTCTATTATATTTAAATGAGGGGGCGGGGTTTATCTACCTATAATAATCCAGTTCAAATTATTACTTTTAAATATTTTGTTTATCTTGATGATATGATAAAGTTCATCCATCTATATTTACTAACAGCCACTGACCCTATTTTGTCAATAACGGTGGTTTATTGTTAGGCAAGTGGGTCCTTCCCTCTGTGTTCCTTTTTAGAAACAATAGGGTTACTAATCTGCTGCCCTCATCTTATGGTGGGACTTGACCTCCACTTCCAATGAGAGTGTTTTGGAGACTGTGGCTGGTCCAACCATAGCCTGCAGCAGAGGGAGAAGCAGTTCATGTGCCATGGGCATTAGAATACAACATGACTCTATTCACAAGCTGCAACACAGGACTCTTAGTATAAAATGCATCCATGTTGAGCAGATGACCACTTCTTCCTTCTGGTACAGTCTTCTGGTAATAATTTGTTTAACAACACAGACAATTTTATTCAATTCTTTTTTTCATTTCAGAATTATATGTAAAGCACCAAACTAAAGGGATTATTACCTTTTTATCCACCATGGTGAAATAGCTTCAATGTGCAGATGTGTAGCATGGTATATTTACCTCTGAGGCTAATGTGTAATCGTGCTCTTTTTCTCTCCAAGTGAAGAGATCTGAAAGTAAACTAAACATGGGCCACATCCATGTTTTATTTTTAGTGTTTAGCAAAGCTGTGGCAGGGAGAGGGATTTTTAAAGATTTTATCGGTAAACGCTGCTCTGTAAAATTTACTTCACAGACCTTCGTTATTCTGCCCCGATGAATTAAACTCGACGTTTCGACAACATTCTTGCCAAGTATTAGGCAAGTATCCTGCTAAACCAGGGACTGATCAAATATTCTGCTGCAGCTCATAGCTGTGGATAAATGATGTGTCACTGTCTGCATGTCTAATCGAACCGTACCTCTGATTTGTTGTGAGGCTGATGGTGAATTGATTTAAAGTGTAGTAACGTAGCCACTCAATCCCGGCAATGAGGAACTCCAGTCCACCCTGGTTGTATAATTGATTATTTCCTTCCTAATGAGAATGTTTACTTAACATAGAGAGAAGAATAGGGCTGATCAGAGCCTACGTCACAAGAGTGCACAGAAGGCGTTTGGTTGCATCTATTGATGACATCTTAATCAGTGTTTAAGAGCTTTTACAGAGTGGTGATGGTTGTTTTCGGTGAGAGCGATATCATGGATATCTTTCTTTTTGATTTCAGCATCTGATGGATGTAGCTGATCTTTGATGGATTTATTCAGGTCTGCCTCTGATCGTTGCATAATAGAACTATGTCACAGCCCTCTGCTGATTAATCAGGTAGTGTTACATTCAGTTCACACTTCATTTCAGGCCTCTTTTTTCCTGAAATGGTGATTTTTAAGGCTTTTTTTTTCTTCCTAATTTTAGATGAACAGTTGTTTGTATATGATTATGATATTTTATGTTGAAAGATCTCATCGTCCATCCTGCCTTCAAAGGGATATTCAGCCAACTTCAAAATGAGTTATTTATAACTGGCATCTATGTTACATCCAATAGGAGGATTGAATATTCCACTCAACTCCTTACATTTCCATCAATAGTTAAATTTCTTATTCATGTGTTTCCTATAAGTTCAACAAGACGAGAGGCAGAAAAGCTTGGAGTATATCTTTGTTTTGATCAATTTGAAAGTGTGCATCTCTTCCCAACATATAGGCAGCACCGTTATGTTTTATTTTCTTTCATTTTTGTTCGTAGCACTTTGAGATGCAATAATAGATACACTAGCATTATTATTATTATATTATTAGTATTATTACAACAATATCCATCTCTTTGAAGCCTCTTTGTTTTTTATAACCACTCTCAAACTGCTAGCAGAACATGCTATATACTAATTTTAATGGATGGAGCCAAAATGGTTTGTACGTCTCAACATTTGCACAGTAAACCTTGTAGATCACCCTCAACATGTCCGCCTATTGTACCTAAAAAATAGTACATTAAAGTATGTACATACAATTCAGTGCTTATTTGGAATGTTGAAGATAAGACCGATAGTCTGTTAAATTAGGATTCTGTTTGGACCTTTTCACAGTTTATCCCATGACAACAACAAATGTCAATGCTTCATATTGAGATTTGTTGTAATAAACTATCACAAAGTAAAACATTATTAGGAAGTAGGGGATGGCTATTAGCAGTTTTGTCTTAACCAATATAAATCTGGAAAGCTTTGTATTCAGTCTTCTTTTTCCTCAAAGTTTGAGATAAATTCCCCCAACTAAGCTGTGGGTGTCTGCAGCTCCTCCAGAGCACAGTAGATTCAAAGTCCTTAGAAAGGTTTAGTGTTTTTCCCTGTTCTACTTTGAGCGTCTTTTCTGATTCTTTGGGTCCTGTCAGGTTAAGGGCTGGTTATAATCCCCACAGCAGTGAGCTTGTTGCAGATACTGTACTTTTGATTTTGCCCAATATTGAAGCTTGGTCTGCTCTATGTTAGTCCACGCCAAAACGCAAGAGGGACAATCATGAACTAGCTGTGGGTCTAGATACGGCCGAGGCGGTGAGGAAGTGGGGGCAAGTTTTATGCGACAACAGAGAGACATGAGGGCGAAAAAGAGCAGGGATCCAGGTGGGAAAAAGGTCCCAGTGATCTTACGCACCTTGCTCTTCTAGCTGGTCCAACCTCATGAGTTAGTTTCCACAATGGCGGTCATACAAACAAAACAAGCCAGTAAGGTACCAAACAGAAAATACGCATAGTGTAGAGCGGATGTAAATTTGACCAATCAGATGCCTCCTGTCTGCGATCACCTACAGTTTTGGAGAGGTGCAGCAGAGTGTCTGCATCAGGGTGGGGGCACATTTGCATTCACTTCGACAAATGCGCAGACGACCTGCTTTCGGAGTATAAATCAGCCTTTAGGAGGATGTGTGGTCTGGGTGATGTGCAGGTCAGTGGTTCCCTCTAGAGATGGGGGTTGCAAAAGTAATACCGATTCAGTTTACAGAGTATCCCACCTGAGCTGTGGATCTCTGCAGCAGTTCCTACCTGTCTCTTGGCCGCTTTTTTTAAAGGATTATCTTCTTTTTCAGTTTCTCTCGATGGGTTTTAACTGATGCCATACTCTTATAGTTGTATGCTAAAATTTCTTTGACAACTCATTTGTAAAATGAAAGTTAGAAAACCATTTATCTTTTCCTAACTGTTTGCAATCATCCACAACTTAGGGTCTGTTGGTAAAGTCCCAAAAAACACATTGAAACGATCGATTTTAACACCCTAAACATGGAAGGGGTTAATTGCATGTAAATGCATTCCTTGTATGTTAGTTGCCCCCCATGCAGCCCACCTTTCCTAAAACAAACAGCTGTCCAACTCTGGCTGGGGAGCTGTTTGTTCAGCTGTCAAGATGGCCACTCATTGATCCCAAACAAACGGCCAATTGCACATCAGTCCTTCTAATGAGGTGAATCAAATTCTCTGTGGGCTCCGAGAGTATAACAGTGAGAAAACAGCAAGCCCTAAAAAGAAAATAGTTGCCCGGGGGGTGATGCCAGAGTGAATTTGTGAGAGAAAGCCAGCCAGCCCCATAACATGTCCACTCTGTATGCATGCAGTCTGAGCAGATGGGAGCTACAGCAATACACCGCAGGCAACTGAAGCAATTTCCTAAAGGCCAGTCAAGCCCGGCATAAAGAGTGAGGCAGAGTTGGAGGACGACAAAGAGATGCTGGAACGCCTTTCTTTTCAGCATTGCCATGGCTACCTTCCAAAAAATCTCAAGAAAACATTGCTGCAGTTTAAATCCAGCTAGCTTTCTAAATCTAACTCTGGCTGTTGATCTGTGTGAAATTGGATAGATTTGTCATGTTTGTAACTCGTTAAGGGATTCCAGTGTTTGGGGGGTTATTTACTTTGCTGGAGTTATTCAGTACACGTTACGGCTTATTCTTGTAACCCAGGGTGCCAGATTGCTTTGAATCCAATAAATAGGGGAATGATTTCTAAAGGATGACATTTTGCACCTTTTCTATTCCCTCCTCAAAAGCTCATATTGCATTAAATGTTTAATTAAACTATAAAATTAACCCCTGCCATATAACCATGCATAGGATAATAAGGGGGCATTTTTTAAGCTTGTTAAACTCTGAGGTGGAGAAGTTAGTTTGCTGCCAAATTACTTATAAATACAGGAATACAAGAAGAAATAAATCGTTTATATAAGTATATTGTAAATAGGCTTGCTTGGCTTAATTTTTTTTTTTGTTTTTTTTTTTTTCTTTGCAGGTGAAAAACAGGTCCCTTCCTACTCTCTTCTTGATTCCCCTCAAGGCCCCGGGGTAAGACGCCTTATCACCCCTATTTTCAAGTCTGATAGTTTAAGACTTCCTGAAATTCTTTTTCTTCTTTTTTAAAAGAAATAAAAATTTTTTTTTGCTTGAACTTTTCACCTCCTGTTACACTCCAATCATAAATTCATCTTTATTTTATTGGGATATTATGTAATAGAGACACAGATATTAGTTGAATGACACATTATTTCAAATTTTCTTTGACAAACAATAATGGATGTCATGCACCTGTGTTCAGTCCCATCCAGCCCAACGGTTTTGTAAAGAGGTCACTTTATTATTAGGTAGATTCCACAAGTGTGTAATTTAATGTCTCTAATCATCCCTTTGTCATGAAGACAATGAAGTACAGCAAGGGGTACCAGGAAAAAAAAACTTAACCCAAGAATAACACCATTTCAAGCTTTGGACTTTTCATGAAGTTCTGCTCAGTCCTTTGTCCAAAAATTATTAGTATACTACAACTGCATAATTCACCAAAACAGCATTTTTTTAAAGCAGCAAAAAGAGAAACATGTAAACCGTGTCCCCATACCTTGAATGAGCTGCAGAGAACAACTGCTCAGGTGCAAGAATCCATTAACAGACCCTATGTAAGTTATTCATATCAGAAATTTGGCATTTATCACTGCAAAAAATATTATCTAAATTAGTCATGTTTTCTTGAAATAAGTGCATTTTTTCTTGAATTGAGGAGGTTAGTGAGACACTTTGCCAATGGACTAAGACCAGTTGCCTTTGAAATAAGAAGACAACAATTGCTTTGTCTTATTTCAAGTTCTTATAACCTTATTATGTCATTTTAAGAGTAAATATACTAATTACAATGGAAAATCATTTAACTACTCAAATTAAGGGTAAATACACTTAATTTAAGACATTTTTATTTCTTTCTATATGGTTTTGCAGCTGCCTTATTTATAGCTTTCCACCATTAAGGAAATGTGTTTCTGTATCAGAGAGGAAAACTGGTCAGAGTTAATAAAAAGATTTCTAAAGCTAAATGCTGGGAAATCCTTAAAGGAAATAAGTTTGATGACAGGTGACATGTCTCTGTGAAAAAAATCCAGAACTGAATATAAATCTTTATTCTAGAAGATGTTTTTCTGACACTAAATTCTAATTTTTGCTTGAAATTATGTGAAATGCTTTTTTCTGACACAGTCCATCCTGTCTGATAGAGATAGAGACGTTTCTTGAAGAAATATGATAAAATCTTACATTTCTAAATATGCAAACCTGGTAAAGATTTTCCTGCAAAAATTGCAAAAGTTCACTGTATAAAGGATTGTATCCTCAGGGACTGAACCAGATGCACATCAAACAGCTCTCCTTACACTGAAATACAATACTTTTACTTTGTGGTCAATCCAAATACAATATATTGAAGTTTTTGGCAAACAAACTTTGAGGTATAGAAACACTTTTATAGGGAAAGCTAGTTTTACAAAATATTATTTGTTGTAGGTTGATTGATAGATCTGTCAGCAACATATGCAATGAATGCTGTAATACTGTTATTACTATTTGCTGTCATGCTAAGTAATTTAAATATGTTTTATTCCTAAATAAGGACACTTTATAGTTATTCATTTTGAAATAATAATACATCTAACTCATTTCAGAAATTAGAAACATTTTTTTTATTTACTGCTTCCCTAAGTAAAAAGACAAAAACATTGCTTTTTTTTTTCAATTTTTATTGAAGCATGAACAAAACATACAGAAGTTTGACTTTGAATCCCAAACAGGTAACAGTTGTTTTTTTTGGCAGTGTTACTTCTCCTCTCATGGCACATGTATATCCGCATCATAAGAAAAATATGTGACACCTTAGAGGATTCATTTGTTGAGTAAATGAACTAATAGGTTTCACGCATATCATGGTAGAAATATAAATATATTTATTCAATAGGGAATCGTTTACTTCTAAATAGGCCACTCTTTAATTCTCCTCCTGACCTGCATGATGTTTTTGATGATAAATACCTGAACACTTAAGTTATTTAGAAAAAGAAATATCTCTGGATTGAAACCAAAGACCTAGTAGGACAACAAATATAAGAGATAAATATATACATGTGCTGACATGTGTCTTGCTTAGAGGGTTTTTGTTGTCTTAGCACCTTGAAAAAGATCAATATTTTTTTCTAAGTTGAAATGAAAGGTGATTTTAATGCTCGCCCATTCTTTCTGTGTCCACCTAAGGTGACCTTGTGATTTATAACTAGAGCTTCCGCTGCTCATAGTTGATGCATCGGTTCCTCTTTGTGCAATACAGGTTCAGGGGGTAACTTTAGAGCCAGCTATAGACTTTGTTGACCTTAAGTCACACAACCTGGAGGTTCTCCTGAGCCTATGTGGCTTTATTGGTCATAGCATTATGACAGTTTCTCATGAAGATGTAACTGAAGGCCTGAAGGTCATCCACAATATCCAGAGGTTCCGGAATCGGCCTTTATTAGCTAGTATTTCCCCAGACTTCCTGCTCTCCTTTCCCAATATTATCTGTTACAGATAAAATGTATAGAGGCTTTGTAAACACACATGCTGCCATTCTGGTAACTTTAGCAATTCAATTTAAGGGGGCTCAAATAAACAGATGAAGGAAAGAAGGTCTTTTGTCTGAAATTTGACTTTCAGATTTTCTAGTTTCTCTAACCTAAAATAAAGTGTCTTATAGATCACTATGCATCTTTATATTCCTCAGAACTCGAGGGAACCGCATCACAGTATAGAACATTGATCATCTCTATCTAACGTCATCTTAACGTCTTCCTCAGGCACCTTCCTCTTTTCTGAAAATACCCTCAAATGTAACCAGAAAGATATAATGGTAACATCACCAGACATTAAGCTATGTCGGGTAGTTTAAAACATGAACAACAAACTTTACTAATCGATTGTTTTAAGATAATTACTTCTTGATGGTGGTTAGATTGTCATGTTGTCCCCAAATAAAACAGATCAAGTATATATACTGTGGTAACGGTTGCAGAAAAGGTTTATTGGCTTCAGTTTTTCCAACATTGTAAGTTAATGGTAAAATTAAGCACAGACTTGTTTACAATTGTTTTTGTCCTCCTTTCTTATGTATTTGCCACTTTTATAAGCTCTTAGAAAAATGTTCCTCTTCTCTTAAAATATCCAGCAGAGCTTTGCAGGAAAAAACTCAGAAGTCACATAGCAAAGAGGGAAATAATGGAAGTGTGTGGGCGCGTGTGTGTTAGAAGTGATATTCCTGATGAAAGACAGCAAAAAGTCTGTTTGTGTCAGTCACAGAACACTTGAATCACCTCGGAAACCTTGCAAGGAGGGGAATTACTGATGAAGATAATCACGCCTAGTTGCATCCAATCAGATAAAATGTCACATTAGCATCTGTTTATGTCAGAGGCTTCCCACAGGCTGCTAATATAGTACTGATCAATCCCTCTTTTACTTTGTAATATATTTAATTGTTCCCTGATTAGACTTCCACGTCATAGATTGTGAGTGAGAAAGGCTTATACGCATTTCAGAGCAGGAAAGTTACACCAGACATATGTGCCGAACATATGTGCTGCTGATTGTGTATATTGTGTGTCCTGGCTGAGCTGAGCTGGACTGAGCTGAGCTGCAGGGCGTAACCATCATCCTTCAGCCTGAGTGGAAGTGCCAATGGGGACTGGGAGTGGTGATAAATGGTGCTCTCTCCACGAGGATGAAGCTGAGGACACAGGCGTGCACACAGTAACATATTTGAGTCCAAGGAAAGGAGGGAGAGGAGATATCAGCTCTGTTTCAATGCCGGCTCCCTGGGCACAAAGTGGGTCGGTTTGTCGACTCGTTTTAAATTGAGCCAGCAGGGGCTTTGAGCTACAGGAGCGCTGTGCCCCTGAACTCTACAAATCAACCTTATTTTGATTAAGCTGGCAGGGCGGTAGGATCATACAAGTGGGCAGCTCCCAGTAGCAGAGAACAGACGTCTGTGGTCGCACTGGGCAGCTCTTTGGGGACAGCATTAAGAGAAGGTGCTTAACTAAATATACTCTTTTACACATCACTCTCAAGAGGATCTAATTTTTCACACTTAATTCCCACCGAATCCTTTTCCAATGTACTGGCTTAAATGGTATGTGAGAAAAAACGTTTTTTTCTTTTTAATTCTTTCATCCCATTCTGGTTTTTCCCTCTGCATCTAACAGGATCCTTTGCAGAACAGCACATTTTCAGCGTTTAGGGTTAAAGTTCAGCTGCTATTTCCCAAAAGAAGCAATTAAGTTTGCTTCAGAAGGAAATCTCGCGTCATGAAAGACAAAGACATGGACGATTTAATAAGCTGCTAATAATACAAATTTCCGGGGGGGGGAGAAAAAAAAAGGAAAATTAGAGAATATACTTCTGCCAATTTCAGAGACAATTTCTGGATAATCACACGCTGAATTTAAAAACAGCATCATTAGCTGCCAGTCGTACAATGCGTTAGCAGATTCAGCTTCAACAGGTTAGAGTAGGTTGGGATAAAAGTTTCCCTGACTGTCATTTAAAGTCCTATTCTGCTTTTTTTCAGTTGCGTTATTTTTTTTTTCAGCATCACCATTTTAATTATTTTAACTCAGTTTTTGCTTTCATCTTTCTTAAGAGAATCAAAAAACAGTTTTATAACTGATCTCACACACTGCAAAAAATGTAAATCTAAGAGCGTTTTTTTGTTCAATTGAGGAGGTAAGTGAGAGACTTTGCCAATGCAACAAGACAATTACATTTAAAATAAGCATTGTCTCTTATTCAAGTGCATAATATCTATATATCTCATTCTAAGGATAAAAAGGTTAATTCCATTGGCATGTTATCTTATTTTCTTACTCAAATGAAGGTTAAATACACTTATTTTAAGAATTTTTTTACTCATTTTCAGAATGTTTTAGTGGATTACACTGCAAAAATGATCTCAAAAGTAGTAAAAATGTCTTAAATTAAGGGTATTTACCCTTTATTTGAGCAGG